CCTGATTGAAGGTATCCATAAATAATTCCCGGAATTGTCATTATTTTATGAATCTTGAAAAGATATTTCGGTAAAACTCGTGTTTTGGGTGGCGATGAGTGAATTACCAAAATTCCATAATCATACTATGTTGATTTACCTCAAACCCGAAGTAAACACAGAACAAAGTGATGTATTTTCCCCGGAAAACCACAACCCCACCTGTTAATTAACTTCCCAATCCCCCAAAGAAAGACCACTCCCCCCTGTACTTGTGCCGCACCCGCAAAATCCTCAACTCCTCATACGTTGAGTACACATAACCGCTATTCCAAACAGCCTAGAGCATTTCTCCGTTATTATTGACTCGGTGTGAATTCACTCCGCTATAAATTTATTATGCGTAGTTGGCTAGTTGTATTTTTGGTTTTGGTAAACGGCCCGAGGGCTATCAAATGTGTGGTCATTTGGAAAACAGGGTTGACCCTTCCGGGGGAATTCCAACTTCACCCCACACACACCTCAGACAGGAATTCAAAGTACTCATTGAGGGGGCATTCCTCAACTCTTGTTTCAAGCGCATGTGGAAAATTGCAGGGTGTAATTAAGGTAGTGATCGGTATTACCGCCCTGAGAAAAAAATTATTTCAGTCAAGTGTCATTTATTGGTGTGGTTCCAGAAAAAAAAGCCTTTCTCCAGGGTTTGCAGCTCCTGGTGATCTCGACTAGGTCTTAGTAATAATTATGACCTTCAGTAAAATCGACCATTAATTATCAATATTAAAGAAGTCCGTCAATTTATTCTCCTAAAAAAATTCAGTGTTTAAAGATAATTTAAACATAATCATCCTGAAATCATTTGGAAATTACTGAATTGAGAGAATAACGATTTGAATAAAATAATAAATAGATCCTTAGCAAACATTTTTTATTTTATGTTGAGAATGAGATATTAAACAATAATTTTTCAGTTACTGTTGGTCTATTGGATGATGACGAACTGAGAACAGTAACGAATGTATTTGTTTTGTTGGAAAATTCATTATGAATTGAATGAGCTATTTAGTCTGGTTTTATTGACAAAAACGAGCAATTGAAATTTGTGAGTTGTCACTGACCTGGTAAAGACAAGGCACAGTAAAGTAACACTGAGAATCATCAGCTGCTGACTCAAGGCCGATTGTGACTTCTGCATCGCTCTGTGAAGATCGTTCTGAAATAGTAATTAATATTCCATCACTTCTCTCCCATCGTTCTCCAGACCTGCTCCACTTCTCTCAACTTTCAACTTACGAACATATTCTCCAGTGAGTGCTTTGCCAACCAGCAGTTCAGGAATACCGGAATGAACAGATTCCGCATCGGTGGATAAAGTATCTGGAAATTTTCATTAATTAAAACTTGAGATTGAGGAATAATAACGCCGTGGTTTTTCACGGTTTACGATTCTTCAGGAAACTTGAAGAACCCAGTGATGAGTCAAATTTGTGATTTTTACGAGATAATGGAGTATCGATGTTAAATATTTTCCATGGTGTAATAATTATTGTTTTAAAGTCATAACAAAGTTCACGTCGAAACAAAAATGTAACATTTTTAATTGATCCTTTTCTAAATAAATATCTTCAAAATAATTATTTTATTAACAATCATTGATTTTCCAGAGAAATATAATTACAACAATCAAGAGCTAATGGTGGAATAATTGGTCGAGTGTAAATATTGATTTCAATTACTCTCACAAATAAATGAATATTTAAAAAAACTGTTATTTCTGTCGCCATAAAAAATGTTTTGATGACTTCCGAAATAATGACACGAGTAAAATTTCATTAACCGAGTCGATTCGCAATTTCCCTGAAATATTTCGTACTATATATATTTCGTATTTCGGGTTAGTACTCGTTGCAATGAATGCACAAAACTTTTATCACTCTCCGTTACCCAATCACGTGAGAATCATAAACATTGCGGTGTATACAAATCTGATGAATAAATCTACTCTGTAACAACAGGGGGAAAAAGTAATTCACTGGGCTTTGATGTATTTTTCACTCTGAACATCAAACGACGAGTCAACGTTCACTTTCCGCCCAACCGATTGATCGTAAATTTCTACTAGATTGAAGGGGATAATTTTCAGTTAAAATATAAACCGATTTTTTTAATCATTCAATTGTACCGTGCGGTGCATAATAAAGGCATCTCAGATTATGCAATGGGATTGCATTACAGATACTCACGTGGAGCGTCCGGGATAATGGGAATTATTCTAATTAAAGTTCAACGGATAATCATGACATCACGTAACGTTGTTACAAGAGAATGG